TTTTTAGTTTTATGGAACTTGTACACATCCATGGTGTTTCCAGTCAAAAATGTAATTGGAAATGAATGGGTAAGACTACAATTAGTGTATAAAACAGAGTTCAAATCAAATCAAATAAAATTGTATTTGTATAGCGCCAAATCACAACAAAAGTCATCTCAGGACACTTTACATAGTAAGGTCTAGACCTTGCTGTTATCAATATTATTACATAGGGAAAACCCAACAAATCCCCCGTGAGCAAGCACTTGGCGACAGTGGGGAGAAAAAACTCCCTTTAACGGAAGAAACCTCCGACAGACCCCGGCTCTTGGTGGGCTTCCTTCTGCCTTGACCGGTTGGGGTGAGTGGATAGAGGAGAGACAAAAGAAGAAAAGCAACAAGACACAACAATCAAACACTGATCAGGTTGATGTGGCTGGTGACTGCTCGTCAGAGACATAGAGCTCCAGGGCCAGGGCAACCTGCAGAAAGGTACAGGGAGAGAGAGGACACACTACGGGAGAGAGGAGACACAAAGTTAGTAATGTGTAATGGTGGCATATAGAAGCATAGGGAGAGAGAGGAGGGGAGAGGAGAGGAGAGCAGAGCAGGAAGGGAGGGGAAAGAAACTCAGAGCATCATGGGGCCCCCCAGCAGCCTAGGCCTATAGCAGCATAACTAAGGGAGGGCTCAGGGTCACCTGATCCAGCCCTAACTATAAGCTTTATCAAAAAGGAACGTCTTAAGTCTAATCTTAAAGGTAGAGAGGGTGTCCGCCTCCCAAACTGAGACTGGGAGTTGGTTCCATAGGAGAGGAGCTTGATAGCTAAAGGCTCTGCCTCCCATTCTGCTTCTGTGGACTCTAGGAACCACAAGTAAACCTGCACTCTGAGAGCGAAGTGCTCGCAGTTGAAGAACATTTCTACGCTTCTTACCCACACTTCAACACACAGACACACACACATGCACACACATCTCATGCCCCTTTTTGGCTTCCATGGCAACCCCCACGGGAACCTATTGACAATATAATTTTTACCCCACAGGAACCACACCTGTTGAAAAACAAAACTGCAACATTGTTTCAATCATACAACTTTCTCACAGCTCTGGTGTATAAAGCTTTTTTGAGGCCTTGCTCACCGTTTAGTCTGTGGCAGCACTATGGGCAAGAGATATACTACTGCACGTGAAGCTGTGGACTTCATAGTTGACCATGACAGTGATCAGGAGGAGAGAAGCCAGGCTGACAGTGAGGAGGTTTTAGAGGAGGAAGTGTCAGAGGTTGAGGATGACACAGAGTTACAACTCAGAGGGGAGAGACTCTAACAACTGATGAGGAAGAAGACCCAGCTGAAGTTGTGGCCTCATTTTGGTCCAAAAATGGAATTTCCTGGTTGTCATTCCCACCTGAGAGAAGAGGTTGGCTTCCAAGTGAAAATGTGATCAGTATCAGTATCTGTAATACTGACCCTGTATTTACTTGGTATTAGATCGATACCAAATTCTGCAGTATTGCAAGTGTCAATTTGCAGCGTCAAAAAATATCACGATTGGCAACCAACTGACCAATCAATCAGTACACATGATTAATGACATTATACCACTCATCATTATTATCATTGACATTCAGCGGCCCTTTGTAATTCTGAGCCCAAGCATTACATTGCCTATGCTAAGAGGAACATCGTTAGTTTGGGGGACAGTTGGTCATAAACTAAAGACCGGGACAAATAATGAAAAGTGAACCTATTGCTATATTTTATTTCTAAATTATTGCAATTAATCCACATGATATACTGTCTTATTCTAACAGAGTAGTGTAGCAGAAATTTAGCTACTGAAAAAAGTGGTTTCATTTAAAAAAAACATTCATTTTAAGGCACAAAACAGCAAAAGAGCTTTAAATATGATCTTGTCTCAATCTCAGTCATTCCTTACAGGAAAATATGTAAATATGTCAAAGCTCAAATATACAAAATTACTTCCCTTAAATGAATCCTTTGTATTGCATGTACATTTCAGGGGTTGGTACAAAGTTTCTGCCCAAGACAAACCAAAACTAAAAGGGCCAGTTTATTGTCTCTGGGGAGCACAGAATGATGAAATCACAGGTGTCATGCAATTTTCCTGATCTGAGTAAATAGGTTAGGCTTCCATTATGTTCACTGTGGTACAACTTTCAGTCATACAGCAGCAATGTCATTACATGCATTGCTGATAGTGGCTAGGTGGTGCTGTGATCTGACAATGGTCTGGCAACTTTCTTGCCAAAAAGTGCTTAGGGCCATCCTGAACCTATCTCCT